TTGTTCACGGTTATATTCCCGGTGGCCACCTTGGAGCTGGGCAGAGGGTAGACAGACAGACAGGCGTAGTGGCCAGGGAAGCAGTCACCTTGGCTGTGCTAAGGCAACTGCCAGGTTTCCCAGGGCAGGTGAGGGTAGGGTCGGACAAGAAGCAGGTTGGACAGCTGGGCCAGAAAGGGCGAGAAGCCGAAGGCAGACAGTAGAGGCAAATGTCTCTCACTTGCGCTGGGCCTCAGGGGGCAGCCCAGACTCTCAGGCTGGGTCTGAACGAGGCTGGTGCTTCTGCCTCATTCTTGAGCCTCTGCAGCCCAAAGTCAACCAGAACTCTGCGTGTTTGGTATTCTGTGTGGTGACTACTGAGGAAGGTTGACAGGTCTGACAGTGCCCCATGCCACCAGGAGAGCTCTCAGCCAGCACTGCCTGCCCCAACGGAGGCACAGAGGAGACAGGCACCTCCAGGAGACCTGGGAGGGCTGCAAGCAGAGCCTTGGCCTGTGGCTCACCAAGTCTCCCCCAGCCCTCACCTCTACCCAGTGCAATGGAGGCCAGCCCATGCAACCCCCTCCCCCAAACACACACCAGGAACATCCTCCCTGTACCAACACCCCACCCACACAGACCAGAGCTGTCTCTTTAAGAGATTCCCTGTGACTGTAGGAAGCTAAGATGTTGCCTTGCTAGAGGCATCTGCATTTTCAAAGACAGGACTGGCGAGGGTAACGAGGGTAACGCTGGCCCAGAGGAGTGAGCTTCCCTGTAGAAAGAGGGGCGCTGAAAGTCCCACAGTAGGCAAACATTTCCCCTTCCCCTCAAATGGATGGTCCCTTCATGCATGTATAAAGCAAGATGTAATCCAGGGGCTGACTCAAGGTCTCCTTGTGACCGAGTCATAGAGCGAGACGGAACTACGAACTAAGTCTTTCTACAGCAGCCCGCTGAGCGGCCAGGCTGCAGGCAGCACAGAGATATGCAGAAGCAAGTAAGCCCCAGTCACTGTGGAAGGTTCTCACCTCCTGTACCGGGGCGCCTCCCCCACCCCCACCCTGCGCTGCAGGTTGGGAGACCTGCCTGCCACTCTGTCTACTGTGTGTGCTCCATTCCCAGCTCCGCTCTGTGCCCTCTTCTTCCTCGGCTCCCTGTCCATGGCATCTGGTGGTGCTGATGTTGCCATCAGGTTGATTAGCTGGTTCCCAAAGAGCCACACAGGACCATTAGGACCCTCGAGCTTCTCTTCTCGGTGGCAGCTCTACTGCATTCCCGTGCTCCGGACACTCACCACCACGCCAGGCCCCCATAGCTGGAGCCAGGCTTTGGGGCGAGAGTAAACCCACCCAGCTCCTCCACCTGTGCGATGCTGCAGTTAATAAACTCTGTTCGCATTGCAGGGCTGTGAGCCCTCTTACCTTGAACGTGAACTCGCAGGCGGATTAAAGTGAAATAAAACTTACCATTTGAGTTACATTCTCAGATGATTGGAAACATGCATTACCTCCCCATGACCGGGCTGTGAGAAGGGAAGTTATTATCTTTCTTCAGAGTTTGTAAACTCTTTATGGCTGAGGCAGCTTTAATCCTGCTGGAGAAAGAATGACCCGAGAATAAATTGCTCTCATTTACCTTTGTTTTCCAATCACATGCTCCAGTGGGAACAAAACATCCTAAGTGAGGGGATGTGGGAAGCAAGGTGATCCCAGACAGAAGAGTTTAATTATTTTTTTCTTCAGGCACATGAGTTGGAAGTGCTTTCCAGTGCCGTTTGGCATGGGCTCGCTCCACAGAAACGTGCCCTCCTGCGCGATGCCAGTCCCCCTCAGCTCTTAGTCCTCTCTGCCTCTCTTCCCCAGGGGACCATGGCCTCCACTTCCCCACGGCACCCACTTCTTTGGGGGCTCGGGGGGAATTGCAGCTACGATGCCCAGCTCCAGGCGTTTGGAACGGCCAGGAAGGAGTCTGAGAAAGGACAGATGTGAATGAAAATGAAATCACAGTCCTGGAAGGAGGAAGAGACCTTGGGGTTTGTGTTTCTGGAGGGGTTTTCTTTCCTCCTTTGTTATTTCTGTTCCCTAACCCAGAGCTTACACAGAGCAGATCCCAAGCAAAGCCACCAGGTCGCCCACTCTAACTGCTGGAAGGAGCCCAGCGGAGATGTCTGCCTGCTTTCCTTTAAAGGTGCAGAGGCAGGGGTAGGGGTGGGGAATCTTCAGAAGAAAGCGGTGACTGGGGCCTTTGGAGGGAGAGCTCAGTCAGGCAGCCCGCCCTGGGCTTTGCATAATTGCATCTCTGAGCCTGATAACATTCTTCCAGTCACCTGCAGTTTGCTGGGCTAAGAAAATGGACCCTATTTCGTCACCTTGCTTAGGGGGTGGGGGTAGTGTACGGCTGGGAGCATATCAGTCAGGAAAACAAAAATCACTCTAAGTATTTCAAAAATTTAATTCAGGGAAGTGGGTACACAGGTGATGGTGTCACTCAGAAGCCACACAGACAATGCAGTTCAGAGACCAGCCAGAACAGGAAGTTGTTATCCCTGCCCATTCCCACCCCTGGGGCTGCGGGGGCAATTGAGAGAGGTGGTGGCCCTCGGAGGCAAAGGCCGTCCAGGGGGAGCGGGTGCAGCTGCTGCCAGAGACTTTCCAAGGCACCTAGAGAGAGAGAGAAATACCCTGGTCTCTCCCCTTTCCCACGCCCCATAGGCTCCTATTGGCTGAACCAGCCAGAAGGCAGCTAACAGCCTAGGCCAGTGGTCGGCAAACTCATTAGTCAACAGAGCCAAATATCAACAGTACAACGATTGAAATTTCTTTTGAGAGCCAAATTTTTAAACTTAAACTATATAGGTAGGTACATTGTTATTAACTTAATTAGGGTACTCCTAAGGCTTAGGAAGAGCCACACTCAAGGGGCCAAAGAGCCGCATGTGGCTCGCGAGCTGCAGTTTGCCGACCACGGGCCTAGGCAATGCAGCCTGGAGGTGGGCTCCCCTGCTGTCCAGAGCAGAGGAGGGAGGGGAGAGTGATGGATCTGAGGGTGAACAGTCAAAGCCAGCATAGGGAGTAATCTCACTTCAGTGACTCTCAGCCGCCACCTGGGGCCCTGGGGTGGCCACCCAACATGGAGAGGGGGGCACAGCGTAGAGGACTCCACAGCCCCGAGGCCTCCCGAAGGCAATAGGCCAACACAGATTTTCCGTCCACCAAGGACATCCCAACCTATGTGACCTTCGGTGCCCCCCAAAAGGACAAGTGCCATGCAGTGAGGTACAGAGGAGAGCTGGTGCACGCTGGCCTAGCCCACACAACCCCACCCACTGGGACACCTGCTTTGAAAGACCCTCACCTCCCACCTCAGAGATGGATAGCTATATTCCCTCTGCTCTCAACTCACTGACTCAGGAACGGCCTTCGTCTCCTGAGCCCCTGCTCCTCATGTATTAAACGGGGACACTACTAGTACCCACCTCGCCTCTCGAAGAGCGAAACACACCTTGCAAGAAGGAACTCCGTGCATGCACCTTGAAAATGCTCAATAAACACCAGCCATTCACGTTAACCACCACCCATCCCCAAACGTTCCTCCCTCCAGGACGCTTCCCTGACTTTTTCCACGAAGGAGCCGCTCCCTCTTAGCTGCAAGCCAGTGTTGGGATACTCGGGGATTTCCAGCCAGTGATCCATGGGACAAAGGTTTCCCTCGGCTGGGAATTGATGTTCTTTTTTTATTATTGTTTTAT